TTGTGTTTTTGAAAACATTAGTGAAAAGGCCAGACTTCAGGGGTATCTGAGGCAGGCTTGAAACACAAGAGTCAGGGTGGCTTCTGGGTAATACCAGATGGCTAGGCCTCAGACTGACGAAGCCTCTTGGATGAGGGGCGAAACGTTTCTTTTTAACAAAAAACGAAGTCCAGATGACATGATTCAACCTTTTTTTGTTATTACTTAACAATATTACATAAATTTATAATATCCAGTGAAGTACACTTGAAAATTTATTAAGGCATAACAAACAATTTTATTAAACTTCTTTTCAGTAGATGTCAGAGTCGTACGTTGGACAGCTTCGTACAAAGAGCTCCAGGATGTTGGTTGAGCAGCAGCTGAGTTCACAAACAGCATTTTAAATGTGATCATCACAGACATGCAGCTGCTGTCCTGGTGGAAGATGAAGGATCCAGAAGATCCTCTCCACCTTCAATCCAAATCATGTCCTTCCTCCCAGATCCTACTTTGTCAATTCCATTCAGTTTTCCAATCCATAAAAGTTATTTTACAGCATTTAGTTTTTTATGTGTTGTTTAAAAATAATTCAACTTAAGCAATAAAATATTTTAAAACGAGGAATTAAATGGGTTGTTTAATGTTTTTTCAAGTATTTGTATCACTCATAAAATGAGTATGGTAGTTACTGCAGAACCTGACAAATTTTGTTTTCGATTACCCGATTAATCGTCAGAATAATCTATAGATTACCCGATTACTAAAATATTTGTTTACAACAGCCCTAAAGATAAGATAAGAAAATACAGTTCTATAACCTTGACTCAGGAATCCTAGCCAATTGGAGATTATATCTAATCTAACTTTCATCTAAAACATTTTAGAGAAAATAGTTGTTGGCCAGTTGTGTGAAAATCCACAACTGTTTTAAGTTTCAATTAGAGTTTAGAACTCACCACAGCACTGAAAATGAGCTGGTGAAAGTTACTAATTATATTATTCTCATGGCCTCTGACAATGGACAGGTGTCTAATAATAATAATGCATTTTATTTGTTAGCGCCTTTCAAGACACCCAAGGACACTTCACAACATTAAAAACACAAAATAAAACAATACAAAATGGCTTTAAAAACACTAATTTTTTGTTATTTTCTTCTTGGTTTAAAGTGAGAAGGCTAATTTGAACAGATGAGTTTTGAGTTGTGATTTGAAGGTCTGAAGGGGGTCAATATTACAGATGTCTGGGGGAAGAGTGTTCCAGAGTTGGGGTGCAGAGAAAGAAAAGGCTGTGTCCCACGGTGCTGAGGTGGACAAGAGGCACGTTGAGGTGAATGGAAGAGGAAGAACGAAGGGAGCATGAATGGCTGATAATGTGCAGGAGATCGGACAGATAGGGAGGGGCGAGGTCATGGATGGCCTTGAATGTGTACAGCAGGATTTTAAATTGAATTCTGAAAGTGACTGGAAACCCTCCAACTCATGACCCATCCATCCCACCTCAATCTGCAGCTCTATTTGACCATTTTGAGCCTATCGCTCCATCTTCTCTAGAGCAGGTCATGTGCAGCTTGAAACCTTCTGGTTCCCCCTTTGATGTGGTCCCCCCTCAACTACTAAAGGAGGTTTTTCCTACTCTAGGTCCGTCCATTCTTGCTATTGTGAATAGCAGTTTATCCACTGGTGTGGTGCCAAAACCTTTAAACATGCTGCTGTCCAGCCTCTCCTGAAAAAAACAAACCTTGACCCCTCAGTCGTATCCAACTTCAGGCCTGTCTCCTGACTACCATTTATTTCTGAACTTCTGGAAAAAACAGTTGAGTCCCAGATGAAGTTCGTCCTGGAGGATCACGCTATCCTAGAGTTATTCCAATCTGGCTTTAAATCTCTCCACAGCACTGAAACTGCTTTACTGAATGTTTTTAATGACATCTTCTTATCCACAGATACAGGTGATTCTGTGCTGCTTGTCTTACTGGACCGTACATCTGCTTTTAACAATATTGACCATGAGACTCTCATTGCTAGGTTGGATCAGCGGGTGGGTATCAGAGAGTCAGCCCTCAATTGGTTCAGATCTTACCTCGCTGACAGATCCTTTTGTGTTTCCATCAAATATTTTAGTTATACAGCTGCAGAGCTTAAATGGGGGGTTCCTGGGGTTCAGTAATAAGCTGTGAAGTGCTGAGACATCTTCTGCTCTTCTGCTTTAACCAAATAAGGACAACCGCTCCAAGATGGTGGCCAAAATTTCTGCGCCGCAGCCATAGATATAAACACTAGATCCCTCATCGGCTGCTGCTGCGCAGGAATTTCGGCTGCCATCTTGGAGCGGTCGTTATTTGGTTAAAGCAGAAGATGTCTCAGCACTTCGCAGCTTCTTTCTGTTCTAATCGACGGACTGTTGACGTCAGGTCTCGGGGGATAACTTTTCACAATAACATGAACATATTATTGTTAGTATTTTGTGAATATAATATTA